ACTGAGCGCTCATGCGCAGATACGAACGCGTGGAAGGAATTTCAAGAATTACTTTTCAAGCTGAATCAAAGGACGCACGATAAGAAATCAAGAATATGAAGTTTTCCTAACGGTTCTGCAGCCTCTCGAGGATAAATACAGACGTCTTCGTACCGATCTGCGAGACTCTACTAAACCTGCTCATGAGTCGTGAGACCTATGTAACCTAGGCTCTGATACCAACTTGTCATGACCCTAACCTCGAACCCGGTCGTGATGGCGCCTCTCGTAAAGACAAGGCCAGCCAGACCAATACATCACACCTCTTTAAGCAGTTAATTACCATAAAACCGTTTTAAAGCATGATTTAATAGCAATAAATTTGCGGAAACATAGATAATAATAGTAGAACCATCCCAACACAGCCCAAACCGGGGTGTCACAAGTCATGAGCATCTATTAGAGTATAAATACAACTACAAGGTCTGAAATATACAAAACAAGACTGATGAACGAAAAGAGAGAAAAGCGGTGCTGCGAACGCTGACAGCCACCTCGCTGAACTCCAATAACCCTGCCTCTAATCGGCCAAAAACCTGCTACCGGGTGTATAAATACCTGCATCTGCACACAAGGTGCAGGGAGTAAAGTGAGTACTCCAACTCAGTGAGTAATAAAGGTAAATAACAACTGAGCAGTAAGAAATCACGTAAAGCAAACCAACATGTTGTATAGAAGCAGTGTAAAACCCTTTGAGAAAAATAGTGAAGCTGTGAAATCTTTAGAAACATCTTAGCTCAGTTTAAACCTCTTTGAAAATGACTTTTTCAGTAATTACACAAATGAATGCAAAACAGTTAGTGCCGATAAACACAGAAAATCTGCCCCTCGGGCACAAATACCACAGTGTAACAAGTAAAATGACAAGTAAATATGAAAGATGAACACACAAAGGTTCGCCCCTCGGGAAATATCTCAGAACAGAACCAGCCCCTCGGGCTCACTCTCAGAATAGTATCAGCCCCTCGGGCTCACTCTCAGAACAATATCAGCCCCTCGGGCTCACTCTCAGAACAATATCAGCCCCTCGGGCTCACTCTCAGAACAATATCAGCCCCTCGGGCTCGCTCTCAGATCACAATGGGTACCCGCGCTCACTGTGGGTGTGCAGGCTCCGGAGGGGCCCCTTACGGCCCAAGCGCAATATCAAGCCATCTCGTGGCATCAACTCTTGGCTCTCGGCCTCACATCACTCAAGCCACCTCGTGGCGTATATATGTATCTCAGGCCCTCGGCCTCATATCACTCAGTGTATCCTCACATCTGGCCCTCGGCCACACTCAGTCAGAAAATCATCACAAGACCCTCGGGCATTAGTAAAACAGTAGCTCTCAGCCCAAAACATCATTTAAAATATCATTTAAGTCTCAAAACTGAGTAAAAGTGGCTGAGTTTCAAATAGTTGGCACAAAGCCCAAATATGGCAATCAACCCAAATCATGATGATAACAAGTAAGTTTCAGTCAAATACGCGATAAATTCATCAATCGGGACGGACCAAGTCACAATCCCCAATGCTGCTCTACCCCACGCTCGCTACGGCGTGCAAGTCACCTCAACATAGCACTACGATGTGCAATCCGGGGTTTCAAACCCTCAGAATATCATTTACAATCATTACTCACCTCGAACCGGCGAAATCTCTAGCTCGCGATGCCTTTGCCCCTCGAATCGGCCTCCACGCGCGTCGAATCTATCCAACATCAGAACGAATACGTCACAATATGCTAAGGGAACAAAGCCCAAGCGAAAATAATCGAAAAATATCAAAGTCCCGAAATTAGCAAAACCCGAGCCCCGGGACCACTTCTCGAAGCTCAGAAATTTTTACATCAACGGGTTCCTTATCTCCTCACGAGTTCATACATACCAAAAGTTCTCAAATCCGACCTCAAATGGTCCTTCAAATCCCAATTCAAAAGTTCAAAATCCCAAGCCCTAGTTCTTCCATTTCTAACTGAAGTTCCATGATTTTCTAGGTTGATTTCACAATAGAATCACGTTTTAGGTTCAAAAATCTTACCTCCAATCGATTCTCCTTGAATCCCTCTTCATTCCCTTCAAAAAGCTCTCAAAAAGATCAACAATGGAGTAAATGAGCCCCAAAATCGCGGATGAAATGTTTTAAAACATTCTGCCCAGGTCTGACCTTTCCTTCTTCGCGAACGCGATCAAACTCTCGCGTTCGCGAAGCACAACCTTGCATTGACCCAATTTTACTCTATGCGAACGCGACACACAGGTCGCGAACGCGACACACAGGTCGCGAACGCGATGCCTCAGCTCCCAGACCTACGCGAACGCGAGGAACCTGATGCGAACGCGAAGAGTAATTCCACTGGACCCCAAATCCTTATACGCGAACACGAGCGGACTCATGCGAACGCGAAGCACAAACTCTTAGCCTTCCGCGAACGCGAGCCCTCAAACGTGAACGTGAAGGCTTAAATTCCTGCCTTCCAAATTCCTTCTACGCGATCGCGATATACCCCACCCGATCGCGAAGGCTTAAATGTACGCAACACCCGAACTGAAAATCTACAACTTTTCAACTTAGAAAATGGTCCAATTGACCACCCGAAACTCACCCGAGGCCCCCGGGACCTCAACCAAAAGCACCAACACATCCTAAAACCTCATGCAAACTTGTTCCAATCATCAATACACCTCAAACAACACCAAACCCACCAATTCACATCGAATTCAAGACTAAGTTTTCTAAAAACTTCCGAAATACGATTTTGATCAAAAACCCAAGCAAACCACGTCCGAATGACCTGAAATTTTGCACACACATCCCAAAAGACACAACGAAACTACAGCTACTCTCGGAATTCGATTCCGACCCTCAGATCAAAATCTCACCTACCAACCGGAAATCGCCAAAATATCAACTTCGCCAATTCAAGCCTAATTCTACTCCAGACCTCTAAAACCAATTCCGATCACGCTCCTAAGTCACATATCACCTCCCGAAGCTAACCGAACCATCGGAACTCACATCCGAGCCCTCTAACACATAAGTCAACATCCGGTTGACTTTTTCAACTTAAGCCTTCTTAAAAGAGACTAAGTGTCTTATTTCTTACCAAATCCTCTCCGAACACAAAGTAATCAACTTGATCACATGAAAGTTAAAGAAGCAAAACGAGGGAAATGGAGCGGTAACTCATGAGACGACTGACCGGGTCGTCACAATTAAATCTAAAAAAAAGGATTTTCTTGGTAGGTAATGTTGTAATTCCCCCTTGGTTTTTCTTTGTGCCACGTTTCTTTTCCAAGGGTTCTGTTTGAACCGGGTAGTAGTTTTACTTTTATTTTTTTTAATTTTTAGAGTAGATTAGAATTAGAAAATAAATGGAGGAAGAAAGATGAGACTCCTAGGGGCCCTTGACTTGTTTGATAATAGCATATTTAGGCTTTGACATGTGTAGTATCTTCCCTATGAGCTAAAATTGCTTATGATGTCTTGGTTATTTGGATATCATGTTTTGTGACGCCCACGTCTCATTTTCTTGACTCGTGTTCACTTTGTGCTTAATGCTTAATATCTTGTGGCTCTGTGAGTACTTACATTAGTGGAGAGTCGGAATGAGACCGTCCCTTAGTGAGTCATGTACCATGTGTGGTAAAGTTTTTGTGTATTTCATGTTTTTGTAATTGATTCTAGAGCTTTCCCGGTATGTGAGTTGAAGCGAAATTTGAGGTGATGCTCGGTTTGAAAAATGATTTTAGGCTTTCTTTGATCTTTTTGAGCTTATGCTTATCACAAATAGAATATATCCTTAGTTAACCATTTTGATCCTATAGACTTTTATTTGGCACCCACATCACCCCATTTAATTCTTAATTGACGGGTTTTTGATCCTTTTACCTCTTAAAGCACTTTAATTGTAAAATGAGCGCTAGAAGAAGTAAGGACTAAGTGTGGGGTGACTTTCGAGTGGAACCAATGAAAGGAAGAAAGGTGTACTTGTTTTGTAAAATAACACACCACTAGCAGAAATTGAAAAAAAATGTTAGGAAAAAAGAGAGAAAAATCTGGGGAAAAAAAGAGAGAAAGAAAAATAGAGATTAATAAATTGTTGTCTTGTTCTTGCTAATGGGTATGAATCAAAGTGGTGCTTTAAGAAGAAGGGTACGTTGTTAGGGATGATTTTGTTTGTGAAATTGAAGGGGATTGAGGAATTTGCGCATAAAGATTATTAAGTGATGTGTAAAGTGCTTAGGAGGGTGAACCAATATTCCTAAATATATCCTACCCGTTCCTAAGCCCATATTACAACCTTGAAAAAGCCCTAAATAATTTTAGATCGAGTGAGCTTACATTAGTAGAGATTTACATTATAGGCAAGCCTATGGTACCAATTGCATGCATGTGACTTCTTATGTGAGAGTGAGTGATATTCTTTGATATATATGAGTCCTTAAAATATATTTGAGCATTTCATTTGAATATGTGGATTCAACTTACTCTCTTATTCTTGTGGTGAGGGCACATGGTTCCACGAGGGATCGGTAACGTAATTAGACTTCTTTCTATGATGTTGGGTGTTCAAGCCATGAGTGCATTATGACGTTGAGTTGGTTTTCGAGGATAGGATTGTTAGGAGCATGTTGTATTTGTTGTGAATATTCGTGAAGTATGGCATAAAAAAGGGAAGTGTATGTGATTGCATATGCTAGAGTGCTATAAACCTTGGTCATTGGTGTGGTGTGCCTCAATTGTGTAAAAACAAAGTGCTCAAGTTTGTGTCTTTAAGTGTAGTTTAAGTGCGGGTTTTGATGTGTGGCTATAATTCCATAGTTTCGTACATTATTTTCCTTGCATTTTATATGCTTTAATGATAAATTACACTTTATTTGTGCGTAATGGAGTCTATTTTGTGTGTAGGTGAATTGAAGATGAAAGTAGAGCGAAAGGGATACTTAAACGTTGAAAGCGTGCTCGAGAACAGTGAATGAGAAACCTTGGCGACGCCAGGCTTGAAACTGGCGTTAGGTTGGCGAGGCCAGGCTTGAAGCTGGCGTTAGGCTGGCGAGTCCAGGCAAAGGCCAGGTCCACCAGGCGTTAGGCTGGCGAAGCCAGGCCTGGGGCGAGATCCAATCCGAGTTTTGAAGGCTTATTTCGTTCCTGGTTTGACTAGGACTTGGCCTACACGTTTAGGTCTTTTCCTACACATATAAATAGACCTAAAAATGCCACTTTTGAGGGGAGATCGAGATTGTACAGATTTGAGAGGGGATTTGACCTAAGGAGGCAAGAACACACTAGGAGCAAGGAGGAGAATTCTTCTACGAGTTTTTCACTTTCTTCTTCCTATTTTCATTATTGGTTATGAATTCCAATATTGTAGTTATGCATACTATTATGAATAGTTGATTTTTTATCTAGGGTTTTGATGGAACCTATTGGAGGATGATTTTCATGTTACGTTAATATAGATTTGCCGTAGCTTTTCTCTATTTGTTAAACTACATTTATATTGTGGTTGATTGAAGAGCTCGCAATCGATTGTGCCTATTTAGTGTGTATTACTCGGGAGAGAGTTCATATTTAGGTAGTTGTTGAACAACATCACTCCTAACGTATATGAGAGATCAATACGGAGGATTTAAAGGTGGGATTAAGGATAACGAAACCTTGGTGCGATCCGAGTGAGCCGTACTTATTGCCAGCTAGCATAATTCGGTAGAATATGTCTAGTAAATTGTGATAATTACTCCGGAGAGAGTTATGTCAATCAGAGTGCTCATGATTGGTAGAGAAGACTTAGGAAAATTTATAGGAAACGTACTGGAAAGGATTCCGACAATAGGGGAAATCATAACTCTAGACCTCCTTAATCTTGTCTCCAATCCTTATCCTTGTTAATTGATAATTTTACTGCTTTCTAGTATTTGTTAGTTAATTAGATAAAAATAAACATTATAATCTTTATAATTAGGAAATTATTTGGATTTTTGTTTCTTATAAATATTGAACAACTGTAGCTAAGCCTTAGTTCTCTGTGGGATTTGACTTCGGACTTGTAAACCGGATTATATTTGCAATGACCGCTTAGTCCTTTTTATAAGACATAGTTGGGCGTGATCAGGGGCTACATAAAACATTGGACTACAACCTATTTCCATTACGGATGCATCAGAGGTGATGAGCATACTAAAAAATGATCACCTTACTTACACAAACTTGGTTAATAATTGCAGGTGGTTGTTGCACTAGGCAAGACAGAAGGGTCAAGTAACTCTCAAGCATAGATTCAGACAGGGAATGAAGTGACACATGTTTTGACTAGGGAATCACTAATGCAGTCCAACATAAATAAACTATGCCTCTTTGCAGCACCTCCACAACCGGCGATGGAAAAGTATCAAAGGGGACTTGGAAGGTTTTAAGCTATCAGTGACTCATTTGTTGCTTGCTGATGACTTATTGTTATTCTCTAGAGGAGATGTTGAGTCTGTGGCCAACCTGAATAGGTGCTTCTTGGACTTCTCAGCTGCATCAAGATTTCAAGCTAACAAAGAGAAAAGTTCCATTTACTTTGGGGGAGTCACTCAAGGGGTTCAAGACCAAATTCTACATCTGTTAGGATTCTCAAAAGGAGAACTTCCCTTCAAATACTTGGGGATCCCTCTGGCCACTAAAAAGATATCATTTCTTCAGTGGAAACCATTGATTAGCAAGATGGTAGCAAGAATCTCTACTTGGACTGCAAAGAAGCTATCATATGCAGGGAGATCTCAGTTAATCCAAACTATCCTCTTTGGTATCCAAGCTTATTGGTCTCAACTGTTTGTTATCCCCTCAAAAGTACTAAGTACAATTGAGGCCTACTGTCAAAGCTATTTATGGTCTGGCACAAATACAATCACAAGGAAGGCTCTAATAGCTTGGGAGAAGGTTTTCACTCCAAAGTCAATGGGTGGTCTAGGCTTGCTAAACATAAGACTATGGAACAAAGCTGCAATAACTAAAGCTAGCCGGGACATTGAGCATAAGGCAGATAGACTATGGATCAGATGGCTGCATGTTTACTACATCAAGAACCAGCAATTCAGTCAAATGGCTATCCCTCTACAGGCTGGATGGATGGTGAGGAAAATGTTTGAAGCTAGAGATACAATGGCACTGATTCAATATATCAAAGCAGGCAGTTTAATAAAGCAGATATATCTTAAGCTCATTGGGGATAATGAGAGGATTGCTTGGAAGACACTGAGATTTAGGAATGATGCTAGACCAAAAGCTCAATTCACAGTGTGGCGGCAGATGCATGGGAAACTAATGATTGTTGATAGACTTGCCTCCTGGGGATAAATGTTGATCCTATATACAACCTATGTAATAGTTACAGTGAAACGAGAAAACATTTATCCATGGATTGTCCTTACTCTAACAAAGTCTGGGAAGGTGTGTTAAAATGGATGAAGGTCCCTAGTTTCAGGACTGCACAATGGGAAAAAATGGAGAAATGGATCATTCAAGTATCAAAAGGAAAATCACAAAGAGCTCAAGTCTTTAAGTTGGCATATATTGAATGGGTGCATACAATAAGAAATTGCTTATGTTTGTAATATTCGGGCATCTATTAGAATTAAAAATCTGGTGCAACAGCTTAGTATTTAGTTTTAGCTCTAGTAGTTAAGTTTTTGTTTTGTGTCTTACTTAGATAGCAGACTGTGATGTAGTCTTGCTATGGTTCCTTATTGTAAATATTCTGGTGATTAATAAAATCTTTAATTACCAAAAATAAAAAGAGTGACAATCTTTCCATGTTTCCATTTTTATATCTTATGTTCGTCTCAATAACATTAGTTTTATTTTTATATTTACGAATTACATAAGTTTTGTGTTCGTATCTTGTTGTTAATATGCTCGAATCATTTAAGTACTTTATTCATATTCATATTCATATTCATATTCATATTTGTGTCTTTATTCTTTCTTCCTTAAGTGTTGAGGACTTTAGTCTAATTTTTGCCCAAAAAAATGACAGGGAATCTTATTTTACTTTTTGCGAGTCGTATGTTGTTTTATATATGTATATAGTATTTTAAATTTTTTAAAATGTAATATCATTATTCATCTAGAGATAAATAAATAGTGAGTGGAATTGTTATATCTATCAATTATCATGAATATTATCATGCTTTAAAATTGAGATCCTATTGATGAAAATGTTCTTAGGAGGACATTATCTTATCGTTAAACAATCAAATATAATTTCATAGAATAAACTATTGACTAGCGTCTGCTACTGAAGAGTTAAATTTTAGTTAAAGAATTATAATATCGTATCGGGAAGATTTGTGTTGGTAGGCAGTAATTGAGAAGATGTGCCAAAAGGTTGCAATGAGGGTGGAATTATAGAGGGCGGTAATTCTTATGGTCGGACAAATGGAGGTTCTCCACTTTTCTGTCTATTCCGCGATGGAGGAACCAGGATAAAAATGGCACGTCATTTTGTAATGGTTCTCTTGGACGCTACAAAAGCACACAAAACAAACATCAGAAAGGGAAACAAATCGAAACTTTTATACATAAATGTACAAAAACTTACTCCGATTTTTTTTTTCAACTTAGTGATTTTTGCTGTCTGTGTGTTGTAAAGAGGGATCTTTTGTAATGGTTCTCTTGAACGCTCCCAAATCACACAAAGAAAACATTAGAAAGGGCAAAAAATTAAAACTTTTACACATAAATATGCAAAAGCTTACTCCGAAATAATTTCTTCAACTTAATGATTTTTGTTTTCTGTGTGTTGTAAAGAGAGCTTTTTGAATGGCAACGTAAACCTTTAAAAACTCTTCACGACGATGTCAAACATCTTTTTTTTAATTTTCAGGCTTCCCTCTCATGTATATCCTATCAACCTCCACTTGAAACATAAATTGGTTGTTACCCAAGAAGTCTTTTACTAGTGTGTCGCAATCTAATAGCTTGACCCTCTCTTCCTTTTCATTAAGCTCAAAGATATTTGTCACGATCCATTTTTCATAATAGGTCATGATGGCGCCCGACAGCATTGTCAGGCCAGCCAACGCGAAAATGTAATTTAAGTCCTCATTTTACTTTTACCAAAAACTAATTATAACAGATTTTCAAAGTTAAGCTAAGGCCAAGAGTGGTAAATAAGGTATCAAATTAGTTATACAACCCAAAAATAAATGTCTACTAACGTGTGTGTGCCAGAACCTGGTGTCACAAGCTACGAGCAGCTAGTAGAATATACAACCAAAATAATACCACACTACCCTACTGTCTGGATCAGAATAGACAGAAATAACAGTACAAAGAGAGACTTCTTCGGCTGCGGATCGACATGGAAGGAAAAGCAGCTCACCGTAGAAGTCCCAAGCCTGCTCACAACTGCGCACCAGAGTAATAACCGGATCCACCTGCCTCAGACCCTGTACAATTAAGTACAGAAGCGTAGCATGAGTACATAAACAATATGTACCCAGTGAGTATCCCGCCTAACCTCGAAGAAGTAGAGATGAGAGGTCGACTTGACACTCACTAGGGCCAAATAATATCATAAGTTTAAGTTAACAATAAAAATCTATAACAGGCAACAGTTTACAACTAGGCATATAAATCATATTCTCGCTGAGATTCCAATTAATCATTTACTTTATTCACAATTATCAGTTCCTTTCGAGTCATGAAACTGTAATTCTAATAGTTAATAAACTCAGGCAAAGCTATAAAAGCATGCGCAAATATGCCGAGGCGACAACCCGATCCTACAGAAATAAAATGTGCACTTGCCGAGGGTCGACGGCGCGCCTATAGATGCATCTATTCATACCGAGGCGATCGGCCCGATCCACAAATAAGTAGGAATATCAAGTATACACACAAGGCACATCAATAGTCATAATTGCCAAGCAAGACTTCAACATTTATACAAGTACGTTCTTATTCCCTTTTTAAAAATCCCTAGCATATCCTAGGTGCTCATAGTGACAAGATATTAAATAGAGTCATATGAAATAAGCATTATGTGGGTCCTAAGCTACCCGGACCATTAACATAGTAATAGCTACGCACGGACTCTCGTCACCTAGCGCGTGCGTAGCCCCCGCATTTAGCACAATTATTCAATTATTAATCCTATGGGGACAGTTCCCCCTCACAAAGTTAGAAAGGAGACTCACCTCGCTCCAAAGCGCGCTCCCGAATATCAAGAACAAGCCCAAGCTCTTAATTCGAATCTGAACGATCGCAAACTAGTTAAAATAGGTAAGAACTAGTCAATAAAGGCTCAAAAGGCCGAATTCTAACCATTTAAGTAATTTCCCAACCTTTCCCACAAGTTTCCAAAATTTCGACCCCGGGCCCACGCGCCCGGATTTCGAGATTNCGTGTTCTATTGTGTGATGGCATGTTGGGTGCAGCGAGTGGTAGGAAATTCGAAGAGAGGATCAAGGTTACGGTTCGGTGTTGACATATATGTCACGAGCTCGGATGAGCAGAGAAGTAGTTCCGATGTTTAAAGTAAGCTGGTATTGTCTTCAGCATCACCTGAGATCAGTGTGTTGTGAAAAAGGCTTTGCATCCTGGTTAAGGATGCTTGGTCGCTCCTTAGCGTTAGTGCAGTCGGTAGTTTGGATGTACAAACCTGTTATCAGTCACGGGAAGGTTGTATAAGTGTGGCATGTAGTCACTTGATTGGTTGAAGAGTTAAACCAAGTAGGAGGATTGTGGTGATATTGCTAATTTGAGAAATAAACTGTGCACTTGCCGAGGGTCGACGTCGCGCCTATAGATGCATCTATTCATACCGAGGCGATCGGCCCGATCCACAAATAAGTAGAAATATCAAGTATACACACATGGCACATCAATAGTCATAATTGCCAAGCAAGACTTCAACATTTATACAAGTACGTTCTTATTCCCTTTTTAAAAATCCCTAGCATATCCTAGGTGCTCATAGTGACAAGATATTAAATAGAGTCATATGAAATAAGCATGATGTGGTTCCTAAGCTACCCGGACCATTGACATAGTAGTAGCTACGCACGGACTCTCGTCACCTAGCGCGTGCGTAGCCCCCGCATTTAGCACAATTATTCAATTATTAATCCTATGGATACAGTTCCCCCTCACAACGTTAGAAAGGAGACTCACCTCGCTCCAAAGCGCGCTCCCGAATATCAAGAACAAGCCCAAGCTCTTAATTCGAATCTGAACGATCGCAAACTAGTTAAAATAGGTAAGAACTAGTCAATAAAGGCTCAAAAGGCCGAATTCTAACCATTTAAGTAATTTCCCAACCTTTCCCACAAGTTTCCAAAATTTCGACCCCGGGCCCACGCGCCCGGATTCCGAGATTTTTCGAAGGAAATTGTTCTCTATACCCTAAGGATCGATAATATATGATTTCTAGTTCATTACATAATAAATTACATGATTAAATCTTAGTTTTATCAAAACCCTAGGTCTAGCTCTAACCCTTGATTTTTACTTAATTTCTAGTGTTTAATCTATCTAATGTTCATGTATTTAAGCTAAGGGAGAGTGGAAATTACTTACCTTGTGATGATATGTGAAAACCCTCTCTTTGGAAGCCCCAATTTCGCCCAAGTATGGAGAAGAATGTGAAATAAATGCACTTAAGTTCGAATTAAAAGAGTTCACTGCCCAGCGATTTCCGCTTCTGCGGTATGGGGACCGCATCTGCGGTCCCGCACCTGCAGAAATAAGGCAGCATATGCGGCTCTGGGCTAAGGGAGGCTGGACCGCATCTGCGGTCTGAGAAGCGCTTATGCGGAACCGCTTCTGCGGAAATAAGGCCGCATCTGCGGCTTCCCTTGGGCCTGCCTTGGGCCGCTTCTGCGATCATTTGACCGCATCTGCGGTCCTTGAACCGCAGATGCGGTTATGACAGAAGCAGCAGCCTTCAGCCTTTTCTCAACTTTCTAACTTCACTCGAGCCTCGGTCATTTGACGCTCGGGGCTCCCGAGCCCCGCCCGAACATACCGACAAGTCTGAAATCACGAGACGGACCTACTCGAACCCTCAGAACTCCCAAAACAACGCTAAATCTTATAATCACCCCCCTAAAACCAAATGAATCAAACTATTGAATCCTTAAGTTCTTAATTCTCCTCTAGCGGGTCAAAATGCCCTTAAACTACTCGGATTGACACCAAAATTTACGGGCAAGTCTTAAATGACATTACGGACCTGTACCAAGCTTCGGAACCAGAATCCGAGCCCGATACCTAGGGAATCAATGATTTCTTAGTTTCTTGAATTCTTTAAAGCTTCCATTAAACAATTTTAGATAAAAATTCATTACTCAGGC